TGAGGTCACCGCAATACACGCTCGCCCCACGGCCTCTGCGCCAGCAGAAAAGAACACCCGAGACGCCTGCCCGTGCTCATCCTCGGCCGGCCATCCAGCCAGGCGAGACGAGAACGACCTTCATGGCGGCTATAATTGCCGGAGGCAGGGCTGATTACCTGACAAAAACTGTACAAACTGCGATCGGCGGGCGCAGACCGCGCCACGGCTGTGTGAATAACGCCGCAGGGCTCCGACGGAGCAAAACAGCGTCACCATACAGGAAGTGATTGAGACGTCCGGTGTGGGTCCCGCCTTTGTTTCTTGTGGAGTGATGTCATCGTCCAAATAAAGCTAAATGTGAGATTTTCAGAAAAGAGAGGTCGTTAGTTTCTGTTGACACTAAACGATGCCTCGAAGAAACTATATGTAATAAGCTGCAACCGGCATTTGCGATGATATGCGGCGTGCACATACGAAGCAACTTGACGCAATCCCATGTATGTTGTCGGCTAATACAGCCTAATTTTTCGTTTCTTCGGATTCCCAGTTATATTGACTTGCTGTCCTAACGACTAATTTTACTACACAAAAATGGCACGTTTTGCTTCGTCCAACCTCCCGCTTTGCATGGCAACACTGAAACACTATTCGACCGTCACCCATGTCTTGCAGCGCCAGTGTATGTACTTGCTTGCGCCTCAGCTACCCTGACGCAGCAGCCGAAAATGGCACTATGCAAATGGCAGAAGGCGATTTTGTGAGCCGTTTTGAATATAATGACCTCAGGTGATCTCGATGACCTTCAAAAGTCAGAATAATTTCTTAGCCTGTTGCAACCATTGAACTCAGCAACTACATACATATAGATATGTGCCGGGCCGATCAAAAACAAAGTAATATAGTCTGTCCGCTGTCTGTGATTTCTGGCAATGTTTAAACATGGTGACCTCAGGTGACCTTGGTGACTCTAAGGGGCTAGCATTACGTTTTTGCCTATAGCAGCAATTGTGTAACTTAGCAACTACAGGGCCGATCGAGAAGAAAATGCCACGCGTCGATTCTTGTCGCATACGACTTCAAAGGCCTATTCGAGCTTAGTCACCTGAAGCGGCCTCGGTGTAACGTTGCTGTTGGCATTGTGTAACGGCTGCCGGTTGGAGCCGCCGTCGCTGCAAGGAGCGGCGGGCGGCACAGCCTACCCGGCGGGCGCCCACGCGGTGATCTCATTGGTCGGTGAGCACGTGACCTGACCGCACGCGATGTGGGGTCGGGGCCGCAGCGGTATGTCACTCTTGGTCGAGAGTCGGTCGTGGCCGGGTGGACTGCTGTGCTGGGCCGCTGTGGTGCAGGAATTCTGGCCCGCTAGTAGCGCCTTTCGCGGCTTGTTCACTGTACATAGTTCCGTTGGCGGCTGTCAGGTGGGACTCTCGTCTTGTCCAAAGCTTCCGGCCAAGCTGCATTGGGCTGCCCAAATGGGAGAGGGAGGACTATAGTCCACCCTCTTAACCAGACGTCTTGGTGCCTGGTCCCGGCCACTGCCCACGGTCAATATACTCTGAGTCATATTGGTCCTCAGCGGACGTTTCACTTGTTACTCACGGCTTAACGGTTGTCAATGAAGGTTATTCATGGGTTAGGTTCGGCCTTCTGCCGATCATTTACACAACTTACCTGTCGTCGCACAGTTTTGCTGTATGTTGCCTGTTTTGTTTGGTGCAACAAGAATTCGTGAGGAGCCAAATTTACAGTCTTGCATTGGTTGCTAGTTGCGACCGGGGCAGGAAGCTACCAAAGATTTAGTGAGACAGTTGGGCCTTGTTTGTAACAGTTGCATAGTTACGTTGTACCTATATCTTCAGTTATTTTTATTATTATCATTATGTTTAGCTATTCGCTATTGTCTTGTTCTTCGCTCAATTGTGAACCGACTCTGCGTCGCGGTTAATCACGATTTGTTTTCCAAATAAATCGCTAGTTTAGTGTACTATTTATTGGTGATCCTTAACGAAGCCATGGGTATGGGTGCCTCAAAACAGTATGTCGCCAATACGAAGATAATAGAATCGTCAGTGTACTGTAACCGAATATAAAATACAAGGAACAATCAGGTTTCTGTACAATTTGCGTACATATTAGCCGTTTTCACGACGGCCATTTGGTACACATTTGGTTCACATCTGGTGCAGATTAGGTGCAGATTTGCTCAAATTAAGTTCAGTGTGTCTCTTAGCAGCTATCAGCTAGGTTTGCACTAATTGCTTATATGCCTGCTTTGTCATAGTATCAGAGAGTATCATCGATTAAAACGCTGAAATTAATTCATAAATAAAGATATTTGCTGTAAAAGAGATTAGGTGCAGATTTGGTCAAATTAGGTGCACTTACCGGATAGCCCGTCGTGAAAACGGCTATTATTACCTAGAATCAGAAGAGCCTGAACGATTCATCGATAGCCAAAATAAGCCGATTTTATTTTTTTTTTCAAACCCTGATAATCCTTCAACTACCAATTGCTTCATCGGCGCCTGTGATTGGTGACGGGTGTCGCCGGGCGGGCGGCTGGGGTCGGCGGCGGCGCCGGCCTTCTCTCAGCTCGGTACGCCGCTCAGTCGGTGAGCGGCTCTCTGCCGAACGGCAGCGCGCACCACCTCTCCTCCAGACGTGCCGCGCGCCGTGCCGCCCAGCGCCCGAGATGGCCACACGTGGAGCGTTGCTGCTGCTGCTGCTGCTGCTGACGGTCGCCGCGCTCACCGCTGCAGCGCCCAGTGATCGTAAGTACCCGCTAACACTCTGTAGGGGCATTCGTTTTTCGGAATGATTTCCAGCGGTGCCCCAGAGTTGGTCCCTCTGGGGCGGTGCACCCCTCGTCCCGTGCGCCGGTCTGCCGTCGCGGCGCGCTGGCGCCGTGCTGGCCGTCGGAATGCTTTGTTTCCCCTCTGTTTATTTTTGTTCGTCCCTGTGTGGTGAGAAAAGGCCCGCCTGTGGACATAGTGTCGGGGCGGAAGGCGACGACCATTGAACGTAGTACCCGCCGCAGCGGCGCGGCACGGCCGTAATTGGCACCGGGGTGCGGGAGGGACCACGACCGACCACGGCACATCGGCACAAAAGTGAAACCAATCTCAGCGCCCGTCTGAGCGCGATCTGTTGTGGGCTGTTATCAAACGCCACGGGAGATTCCGGTCCGGGCGGGTCCGAGAGGACAGGTCGACCGGTGGCGTAACAGTCCTGCGGCCCGCCCAGTGTGAGATATTTTCTCGCCGGAGGTGCTCGCATGGCCCGCGGCCCGGCTGCTGACCGGTGCGGCCTATGACACTTTCGCTGGCCACTCCCGGGCGGTGCTGTGGCCTCTGGCCGGTCGAACTGACCGCTGCGGCCCGGCGCGGCCGCTCCACTTTCCATTTCACTTTGGCTAGCTGACCGAAGCTGCAGAGTGCCGAGGCTCCACCGGCCAGCGCGAGCATTGCCGCTGGCCTGCTGCCAGACCAGACATTGCAGACGAATTGTATTTGTGCCTCGGCACACGGAATGTTTTCTTACGGTCATTCGTTGAGCTAGGTAAACAGATGCACGATTGATTATTATCATCGCACGTGTGTTGCGGCATTTCGACACAATACGTCCACAGCGTTACGCAGCTTCTAACCGGTTTAAGAATTGGCAACCGGATGCGTGATTGCATAGATCACTATATACCACTATATAGGTATATAGTGGTCTATGTTGATTGTAATATCTAGGCCCAAGTGCCCGCTGTACCTACCTACTTTTAGGTACGGGTCGAGTAACCCCACGACAATTGAAAAATGGTAAAATGTAAAGGAGCTGGAAGTGCTCGTCCAGTACCGGATGTTGTCTTCGATGCCCTGGGTACATGTATTTGTTGTCATTTGGGATGTAAGGCTTGAAAAAGACATTTTGTCGAAACACATGTGTAGCCAATTCAAAAGAATATAATTCAAAATAGTTCCCATTGTTTATCCCATTACAATACTACTTGTCCTAAGCTCTTATCAATTATCAAGTACATGTATTTGTTAAGTTACTTTGCGGCAATAATATGCCAATGTAGACAAATTTGAACTTACGGCAGAACTGAATCTGAACAGAATGGGATGGATGCTTGTCTTCCATTATCTGCGAAGATGACTGTCAAGTGTCATTGAAACACAGTGTTCTGGAAAGCTGGACTTAGACGTCTATCCAGCTTTGCTTTGACATTTTAGAAGGGTTTTGACATAGGCTGCTGACTGTTGAGTAGGTATATAGCAGGTTAGCTACCAAGTTTGATTTCCGTCTAACGCTCATTGGCACCTGTACCAAAAGTTGTGAAACGTCATGGGACCGAACGCTATTGAGGTTCATCCATTTCACGTTTAATGACGCATATAATGATCATAAGCTGGATTTTCTCACGAAAGAATAAAACGTTTCGAAAGAGTGATTATTCGTCCGAGTCACGAATCAATTATCGTCTAAAAGCGAGATGGTAGCAATCAATGTTGAGAGAGTCGCGGAGACAACGGTCGGCAAAACTTGTCAACTGAGCGCTAGTCTTTCATGTGTCCAGAAGTCAGTTCGGACCGTTAATGCACCAGCGTTCTCCTGCCACATTGCCGTGACACTGATATCAGCACAAAAACCGAACCGAACCCTGTCTACCATTGCCGGTGGTAGTGTCAACCGAGTGGGTCGGGTCCACGGGTCGATATGAGCCGTGTGAGGGTGGGTCGGCCACCACCACGGATTTTCTAACTCAGTATCCGCGCTAGATGTGCCTATGTTCCTACTTCCTACAGTGAGACCCGGCAAAAGATTCCACTGCCCGCTGTAAGAATGAGTACTGCAAATACATTGCACACTTTACTTCTCAGAGTAGTAGCGGTCAGTGGAATTTCTCAGACTCCCCAGCTCAGGGCACCTGTCAGGAGCTGTTTATATAAACGGGGACATCACCAAATAGATAATTGCTGCATCAAAGCTAAAATAGTTGGCTCTGAAGCCTGACGGTGACTCACCGGAACGCATTGAATCAGCCGAAGAAGCAGAGAAGAGCCGTTGATTGATTGTCGTGATGCAACCTTCAGGGCGAATGTTGTCATGCTGCTGTTGACAAGCCAAGTCAAAGCCGGATATCAGTCGAAAGGCACGGGCTGATGTCATTATGTGGAGGCAGACTTCTGCCACTACATTGTAGCACACGATATAAGAATAATAACAAAAAACACAAAACCGCACAGCGCATATAGGTGAGCCTACAGCATTTAGTTTCAGGACGCAAGCAGAGAGCGACCTTACTGAATAATTCTAAGGACAATAGTTAGGTGAAATAGACGATCCAGCTGTTGAATTGGCTCTAAGAGAATATGTGTATTGTAGTAAATGACCTCGAAAAAGGCATGAGAATCTCCGTTCCTCTCCTAAGCGAGAGACATGAAAAAGGGATGCGTGGTTTTCATACATATTGAAAACGGGTAGAACGGCTTGTAGCTTGCAATCAATTCACAGCTGGCACCCGGGTGTTCACTTTGAATTGGAGCCTTTTATTAGCACACTATGCCGTCCTGACTTGGGGCACATGGTAACAAAGCAGTGTTGAAATCTTGCATATTGCACAACACATTGCCAGGCTCGTTCGACGAAATTTTCGATGAGTCGAGCTGTATCCTGTTTTAGCGAGCATTTCTGTGGCTTGAAAATTATGCATGCATCTCAATGGGCGGACGTGTCATAGAACTATGGTTATTGATTGGATTTGCTAGACATGTCATTTAGTGAGATCCTAATAGCTGATAGGTTCAATAGCTTCTTTAGTCACTAGTCAGTACCCAGTACCTTCTATTCTATATAAAACAAACAGCGCGTGCGCTCCACTATACATTACCTTAGTTCTTACAAAAACGTACCGTAAAGCTATCGCGTCACCCTTTTTCGGCCACCTCGGGAGACTGCTGCGATCCGACCGGGGCGGGAGGGCCCGCCCTGTTCTCGGAGAGGTCCGGTCGGTGCCGGTGTGCACGAGGTCGGTCCACCCCGCTCACCTCGACCCTTCCCTGTCCGGGCTCCGGCCGCCTCCCACACACGGCGACGCGACGGATGGAGGGTCGGCGCCCACAGAGCATAGACATAGACAACTAAAGGGTCGGCGCCCACACACGGCGACCACTGGAGGGCCGGCGCCCACATAGCATAGACAGCTGAAGGGCCGGGGCCCACAGAACATAGACAGCTGAAGGGCCGGCGCCCACAGAACACAGCTGAAGCGCCGGCGCCCACAGAGCATAGACAGCTGAAGGGCCGGAGCCCACAGAGCATAGACAGCTGAAGGGTCGGAGCCCACAGAACATAGACACTACATAGACACTAGAGAGAAGGTGGGGGCTCACAAAGCATAGACAGATAGATGGTCGGCGGCCGGCGCCCACAGAACATAGACTGACAGATGGATGGAGTTCACAGAACATAACCTGTTGGAGGGATGGAGCCCACAGAACAAGGATACAAGACACTATGAAGACAGATAGAGGGCTGGCGATCACAGAACTTATGAGACAGGCAAGGTGCAGCTCACAGCACCCACAATTTCGTGCGTCTGTCCGTGTTTGAAGGCTAACGCTATTAGACACACACAATCGCAGCAGACCCGGTGTTTGGACACTTAAACGATGGCGCGTCTCAGTCGGATGGTCTCGTTCATTTTACAGAGTAAGAGTAGAAGATGTTTTCTAAATTAAATGCAAAAATGAGCCTGAAATAAGCGGTGTAATATGCATTCTGCTGGAAAATGAAATGCCTGTGCTTGCATGGATATTCGCAGACGCGAGTATATTCTGAAATAATTAGTTCTACGCTCCCTCAGACCTCTCATTATGCAAAATGGTGCACACGTTATGGTCCTTACGCATGATTTATACTCGCATGCATATTTCATGCCTCGTTTAATTGATATGCGCTTCACGTAAACCCTGTCTCGTAGGTTCAAACTATGAAGGCATTTTGCACTTTAAATACGTTCTGTTCATTGTCAGCATTATTTCTATCCAAGGAGTAAGGATCGCCGTGCAATTGTGCTTTACTTTAGTGAAGATTACATATATTCCACTACCGCGCCGGCAAACCTCATCAGTTGCATCTGTTGTGTGAACATTTGGCACAGTGTCCACTGACATGGCCCCACTCCACTGTTGGCCGGCCGGCCACTTTAGCGGCCTGTCGTCTGACTATGCGGCGGTGTTTGGACACCGTCCGATGCACAGCTCCAATGGGCCACCGCCTGCCAAACAATGGGCGCATCAGCGCAATTTCGCGGCCCACCGGCCCGCTCTGGGTGCCCGGCTGACGCCACTGGATGCCATATTCCAGCCGGGGCGCGGTTCATCGGCGCCGGCTCGGCGGGACGGCCGGACGAAGGCGCAATCGGGGTGTGAGGCGGGCGTGCCACCGGTGCAAAATTGGCGCCCGAGATGGGTACGAGACTGGGCGCCTGGGCGTGGCTGAACTGTCCCCCGTTGCCGTGCTCTGATCAGATTCAAACTCGAGCAGCACATAGGTAAGGCGGAGCCGGGGTATAGGTATACTATATATGTAGCTAAGCTGCGTCTTGAGCGACAGCAGTGCTCGACTCAGTTGAGGACCTCAATAATTAGGAGGGCACTGAATCGATTCGCCGACTGCGCCGTTTTAGAAGTTTCAGAAGTCTGTCTGTCACAGCTAGCGAGGCGCCTATTCGTTGAGCTGACGGTCAACTGGCCATAGAGGCCCTTTTCAGGGTATACTCGGAACAGTGCCTCTATGGCCCCTATAGAGGTTACACCAAACCAGCTGTGTGCGGACAGTTAACGATCAGGGCTGATAACTGTTCTGGGAAGAGACCAGAGGTCATTGACAATGGACCAAATGTGGCTGAAAAAAAATGAAACGAAACACCGTGATTTTCAGACTGACCTGTAGCTGCAAAAGATAAAATCACTGACGGATTTAGATCCATCGGCGCATGCGTCGTTGCCCCGCAGCGCACAAAAGTTATGAAACTTTGTCATTTTAATTGCATAGAAAGAAATTGACCAACTAATAAAACAGATTCACTCTACTCTGCAATGCTTATGAAAGTGATTCGATTCCTCAAAACGGACTGCAGCCCAACCAATTTGTCTATATCTGTGATCTTTTGAGGTATTTTTCATCCACTTGCTTTCCAGCAGCTAGATATGGTTTGAGGCAATTGAAAAAAATATAGTTCAACGTTCCTTTTAAATCATGACAGGCCATAGAAAAGTGTTAATTATACTCCCCTCGTTAGCATGAATATCCGCAAAATAAGACTGTAAAAAATATGACATCTAAACAAAACGTACTTGCATAAGCGTGACTTATGGTTCGACTCACTTGGGCTTGTTTATCGCGTGGTCGTGACTTGATCACACAAAGACGAAGTTGGTTGACGTGCTTGATGTCTGGGAAACGACAAGTTGTTGTGGCTACAAGTCTTGTTGTTCTTTTGTTCTTGGTGTCTTACCTTTGAATTATCTGGTGTTAGATAATTTTTTTTTATTTGTTTCCCACATTAGGTACAACGTAAAGTGCATATAAAAATTAAAATTGATCCAAAGCATTATTGCGCATAAACGACTATTCCATCCAAACGATTCTGAAAGCAGCTTCCATCGCATTTAACCTCTTCGCTTATTTGCAGAGGCTGGCGACTGTTACTCCAAGACTTTGAACCGGTACTTCAGCATCGGCGACACATGGCGAGAGGCGGGCTGCACAAAGGCGGAGTGCGTGGACGGCTGGACCAACGGCCGGCCCGGCGTGCTCGTGCTCGGGTGAGTGATACTTTCCGGGAGACCATACCTACGCCCCGCCGCACAGCGTCCAGCGAGAGTGGTCCCCAGCAGCCGCGGGCGCCACTCGGATCCGGTCTGCCGCAGGGCACTCCCATGTCTCCTCTGATATGTGGAGATCGGGAAGCCAAGGGTGTTGTTTGATGATGTCATCTGACCGGTAGAACTGGTTCTGCCGCCACATCTCACGACTTTCCATCGGTGGAATTGGATATTAATTGGAGTAGACGCATTTTTCTGTCTGACGGGATGCGGCCGATCTCCTTGATCTCGTTCAATTTCGTTTGAATTTAAATGGACATATTATGGCAGCTGGCTTCTTTCGATTATTCGTTTTACAAATGAAAACATTAATCTGGATTTCTGGATAGTCTTGGACATCAGAACAAAAAAAGTATTCGCACTTTCAAAAACAAGACAACGTAAAATTCCAAAGCGTCATAAAGTATACGGAATCACGAATACATCAGGCTAGCTCTCTCGCGTTACCGCCGTGACTATCGTTAGAGCGTTTTCCCACCGTCCATCGATCGAGTCCTTTGTCTCTGGCAGCGGCTGAGGCGTCCGCTGCGATCCGTGGCCCATCAGTCATTCTTCAACGATTACGACAGTCGATTAACATCGCTGATCCCAGCCATAAACAGAGTCTGTTCCGGAGATGGGCGCTCAGACGGTGAGCCGTCCTGGACTCTCGACAAGGCAGGGCTTTGTCGCGCTCATGCGATGAATGGCCGGCGCACTTGCAGCCCTCTTACGCCACGGCAATGAAGGCTGATCCGGCAGGATGGGTCGTACCCTGTCCGGCGCATTCCCTGACCAGTTGGCAAACGTTCAGCGCCTGTCAGTACCAGTGCTGCCTTTTATGGAGCGCTGCCCTTTGTCGAACATCTACGTGGTTGTTGTCTCGAGGACCCTTACACTTATGGCAGAGGGGTCTGAGAGTGATGTCAGCCTGACGGAGTAATGAACATCCTGGGAGGGACGGGCGGCGGAGTGGCGGCGCTCTCCGCTGAGGAGGAGGGTGCAAATGGCTCGGCCGTCTCGGCGGCACGCCTTGATCAGGGTCCGCCGCTGGCGCCGCCGGGACCAGAGCAGGCCGACAGCTGCCATGGACGGCCAAAACAAGCGATCACTCCTGCGGCGGCGGCTCAACTGACGTGGAAAGATTAATATCTCCGGACACCCAGAGAGTGACGGACGGAGGATTTCACTCGCACAAACACTCACAGCCCGCCTGCTAAATACGAGGCGGCGATCACCACAGCGCGCGCACACTAATTGGCCATTGCTCTCCGTGCGGCGACTCGGAGAGGCCGGTCACGCGTGGCCATCACTCGTGGCTGTGCGCGGGTCGCACCGGCACGGTCCGGCCGTGGCACCGGCACCGTGCCGCGTGAGGCGCCTTTCACCGGTAAATGGTCCTGGGTTTAGGAGAGTACGGCTTCCAAACAGAGACCATCAGCCAACGGAGGCCCCACCGGAGGCGCAGTCAGCTCAGCCAGATGATGTATAGATAAGGATGCGAGAAATGGGAGACGTCATGTGGAAAGAGAAGGCGCTGTTGTGACTTTGAGTGTTGGTCATATGGGAGGTCACACCGTGAGGACTTAAAGAAGTGTGATGAAGAGCGATAAAACTAATGTTATACCTCATTGATGACTTAATTGAACAGAAATGTCGAATAGATTCGACAATGAACTGATTTGCATGGTGTTTATGACCATTGTTTTTTTTTAATTTTAATTGCTCATTGCTCTAAATTGAACGTCACCTTTGATTCGTAACGCTCTCGTGACTCATATTGCTGACTTCCTGGGATCATTCGTAGCCGATCCCTCGAATAAGAGATGGTGCCCGTTCACTCATCAATTCCTCTGACCTGACCTGGGACGTGACCTTTGTGCAAGAGCACATCACGTTCCTTAGCTGTTCCTGTATCGTTCCGCAGTGTCAAGGCCATTGATTCATCCCCACGACTACACGGCACGATTTGATGCGGCATGAACGGCAGGTCACGCCTTACCGGCTACGTCGTGAACGTCCCAGCTGCATCAATCAATACCCAAAAGTCACCCGGGACGTTGAACACGA